CATATAACCTGCGTAACAGCGAGTACATCATCCCAATAAATAAGTATCACTCAAAACTTCGATGTAGGTTTTTCATAATGCAATACAGTATGCTGTGGAACAAACCTCCCGCTCCTGTACGGGCATGCCGTTCTCTCGGCCAGTTTCAACGATTACTTAGTGAATTCCTCCCCTCTAACGAATCTCATCAATTCGTTGACGGCCAAACCACAAATGGTAATACCATGTACAATGGTGCTACTGGTACCTAGACTCAAGGAGACTAATAGCAATGACAAAAGTATACAAAGCCGAAAACTAAACGCGATAGTTAAGTTAAAATCTAATTTCTTTTAAAAAAATGTCCGAGAGTGGAAGGGAAGCGGGGTGCGATACAATTTGCAACAGTGAACTCAGTAGCTACTCTAATGTAACCTACATTTCTTCATAACCTAACTGATCTCACGACTTGACACCTATTTCCTAAAATTCGTCCCTTAAAATAATCTCTACTCCGAAAAGATAAAAGAACTGTCCGTCAGTGCATTTTCGTAGCATGTAACACTTTATTATTTGCCCTTTGTTATGAGTACTTGCATGTAAGTACTCTGCACCAACATATTGTCTCGGTAGCCCCGATAGGGTAGTACTCAACAGGCAACACCATGGTCATCCCCCCCGTGACCAGATAAAGGGTGGTTACCGTCTCAGAAAAAACCGTGAATTTCACTTAAATGTTTATAACTTCATCAAACGCTCGTACACAGGTATATGACAAGTGAATACCTGGTCCAGAATCCTCTAATCTCTCTGTTTCGTAGTGATATCCTTGGCTTCAGACTGATTTTCATTACCGTCGTGCGCACCTTCATCCTTTTCTACCTAAGTTTACCTCTAAACAGTTGGTTCTGGAGACTTCTTGAAGTAAGTTTTACAGTCAGTACAAAGAACTCACTCAGATGTATCATGGTTGATCTACTCCTGCGTATTTTTGTGCTCTTATTTCGAATTTATATTTATTTATTTATTATTACCAGAATATCCCAGCGGTAGATCAACCACACAGTGATTTGAAACGGCACAAGCTATATTAGAGGAGAATGGGGTAATGTCCTAAATCAAAGTGTTCATTGATCGGATCATATCCGTATGCACGAAGTTTGGCGCAGTGCAGAAGCGGTCTCCAGCATCTGCATCTATTCCACACAGGGTGGTCAAGTTTGGTTCTGCATATGACGGGTGCTTAGGGGTGTTGGTACCGCTACCGGGATCCATTAAACCCTTCTTGTATTCCTTTCTGCTGACGCCTCTCAGTTATTTGGGGCCTGAGAGTGATGTATGTGGTTGGTTGCATCCTCGATATCCCTCCGCGGACTCCAAGATCAGCGGCTCAGAGTAAGAGGCCAAAAATCTTAATCTGTTGTTTGGCCAACTCTAGAGCTGATAGGGAAGTAATGGATCAAAATTATCGTGTTTTTTGCAGTCCATGTTAACCTATGTTCTGATTTGCATTCTCTGTTACAAGTGATATCCGAAGAAACGGGAGGAATGTTGGATTAATGACTGTTTGCTAGCAAGCTGGTTGCAGACAGTCGTTCATTTATTTGAACCCAGCCTTACCCTTGTACTAAAAAGTAATGACATGACAGCGTCTTGGCTGTAGTGGATTGATAAATATTCTCATTAGTGAGGTAAGACTAACCTAGAGCACACATAAGAGAACAATATTGTTTTCACTTTGCTTTAACGAAGCTTCACGCTCAAATATGAAGCAGTAAACCGATCTTGGTATACTCTTTGGCTGTGGTGACGAGAAAGCAAAGTATGCAAATAGTTGATATCTAGATAATAATAATTACAGCAATGATAATAATGATAGCCCTGCTGATCACAAGAAAAATGAGAATGGCATAGTATCGTAGGCACTTAAAATATCAGTGTAAGTCAAAACCCAGAAAAATAAAGGCTGCGTAATACTAAAGGGTGATTTGTGTAGATAATCAAAGTCTGAGCAAGTAGACATGCACGCGGAAGAGTGGTGGAGGGGAGCGGGTGGAAACTAAACCTATACTCACGGTCATCCATTAGGTTTTCTCTGGTCAAAGTAGAGATGAGCGTTGCGCAAACCTTTTCTGCACACTAAGACTAGGGTTGTTTACTCAAGTCCCACAGCCTCAGCCACATGTTAGATGCGAATGCCAGTTCCATCCGAAAGATTTTTTGGAATGCCATGGATGCTTTTGAACACTTCGGTCCTATCTATCAGAAGTCAACTATCGACTGAGTGTGATAGAGCTGAACTTCGTATTGACTCTAGTTGTCCCTTTCTTAGCCGTAACAATAAGCGCTCAGCAACAAGTTTGTTAAGCTGCCTAGTTGTACGTCTAAAGTAGCTTTCTCCACTTGAGCACCTGAAAGGATAAAAGCAGACATACGGCCTATCTAAAGTTCACAAACCGCAACTCCCTCCTCGTCCAGCTTTAAATATTTCCGATTCCCTTCATGATAAAATCCCGAGGTGGTTATTCAGAGTTCCATAACCACTACACAAACAAGTTGTAAAAAATAGCGAAAAAGATGTATTCAACTTCATCTCTAAGTTAGAAAATGTGAATATGAACGGGAAACGTATGACATCTTTAGATGTTTCTTCCTATTTACCAGCGTATCACTTCTCGAAACAGTAGGATTCACTTATCAGCAGTTGCTAAGACAACATGTTGTTGCTGTCTTCCTGATTTAAACTGCTCCACAGCCCTTTAACTCCAACTTACGTCCCTTATTGGTAAATTCCACCTCAATATAAGGAAAGAGACGACATCTAAGGATCAAAAGCAATGATTCTTCGAACGTTTTTCCGCCACACGTCAGTTTTGCCTCTTGATATTTTTGCTGACACCTCATGCTTCACACCATGAAAATTGCATTCAAGTGGGTAGATAGGCCCAGCTTTCACGATCTGTATTCCTATCAAAATCAAAATCAAACAAGCTTTTGCCAATCCACTCTTTTCCAGGTTTCTGTTCCGGTTGAGCCCACCATGGGGCGGTACCTTTTGCCAGACGTTCAGGATGCACAAAAAGCTGCACTCACGGAATTAAGGACTTTAAGAGGATGAAGATGACTTCTGAATACCAGGGAAAAGCGAAAAGCAACTAAGTTGACTCAAACATAGTTTTGTTGTGATTAATTTCATTTTGAGATGTTGTTTTAAGCTATCGAAGCTAAGTGCGGGAAAATCCCCAGGGTGCAACGACATTCTTCCATCTGTGTTGAAATAATGCTCCAGTACCCTTGGTGGCCCACTCTGCAGTCTCTTTCGACACTCCTTGAATGAACAAAAACTCACACGAGTGTGGAAACGGGCCATTTTGTCTCCTATCTTAAAAGGAGGAGAGAGGCAGAAGCCAAACTGTTACAGACCCATAGTGCCTCTACCAGCAGCATCAAAAGTGATCGGACGTGTGATAGACGACCACATCAGGGAATATCTGAAAACAAAGCAGACACTCAGTAATGTGAGGAGAGCCAACGAGGTCTACTTAACCTGGAGAACATCGTCATCTCACAAGAACCAACTTCGGGTTCATTGTTGTTCCTACTGCTCGTGAATGGCCTCCCGCTGCATATCATCTCTCCGGCTCTCCTCTACACGGATGACGTCAAGTTACAGAGGGCAGTAACTTGCAAAACGGAATACGGTGCACCACAGAACGACCTCAAACACTAGAGGAATTGGCTGAGAATAGCGAATTGGCATTTGACCTGGACAAATACCGGCTCATGTTTTTCCGCACACCTGATCCACGAAAAGTATCTTACTTTCTCTTTCGTTCACACCTATCTCGAACCGCAACAGAGGAAGACCTAGGCTTAATGGTGACGGAGAAACTGGACACTAGTTCTAATTGCCTAGGAGACGCCTCGAAAGTATACGTTGTACTACACTTTGTGCGCAGGTAACTAGGCGCCCTCACCCTAGAGCTCTTTTCGAAGCTCTGTGAGACTCACATACGACCCCACTTGGAGGTCCATAAGGTCTTGCTCCACCACAACTGAAAAAGTCACGAACCTACCGGAGAAAGTTCAGTGGCGAGCCACAAAAGGGGTTGTTGGGATGCAACAAAAATCACATGAGGATAGACTGAAAGACCTAGGCCTATACTTTCTTAGTTACCAAAGGTTACGAGGTGACCTGCTAACGGCCTACAAAATACTGAATGACCTGAGCCATCCGAACAGAGGAATACTACCGAATGGCCACCATAGTGATCTTCGTGGAATTACCCACCATAGGTCAAAAACTCATGTGCGTCCACACTTCTGCGGGCACTGGAATGCATTGCCAGCAGAGGTGGTCTCTGTCCCATCTGTTGAACGTTTCAATAAAAGGTTAGACAGAGACCCATGGTCTACCCCCATGTAGCTGGAATGCGAACCTAACAGAAGTCAACTACTGTCACGCCATTCCAACTATGTTACCTGTATACCAGTTTTCTTTCCACTGCAATCATTTAAGCCCTTTTCATCCCTCCCACTTGCCAGGAATCAGTGTCACCCACCTAAGTTCTTCATATCTTTACACACCCCCCGCCTTACTTGGGTGTAAGTAGATTACTCCATCAGTTCACTTTTCTTTGCCTTTTACTCACATAACTTTGTCTTTCTAGGTTTTCTCTTCACTACCCATAACTATCTCTAACGGTCTGTTCGGACAACTGCCAGGCAACTCGACATCTGGAGAACCCAACTACACCACAGTCCAAGGCAACCTAACCAACATTCAACTTCCTGTTCTGTTTACCAGAGCTATAGCAGACGAGTGGCTGGATCCACTGTATCATAATCCCCCAAAGATCTGGAACTTTTCTGCAGGGCGGAGAAGCGAGCAAGAAGAAATCAACTGGTTTACACAAGCTTGTTAAACAAATATAATCGATTGGATATTGAAGGGATGAGTCCTAAAGGTGCACATGTTAAGTTAAGGTCAATTCGTGGTCGGTATTTTCGTGTCCTCCGATATGTCTACAGAAGTGAAGATTTTCACACTTGCAGAGGTCAGAAAGCACAATAAATCAGATGACCTCTGGATTATAATTCACGACAAGGTCTATGATTTGACAAAGTTTGTGTCCGAAGTAGGTTCATGCATGCAGTTGTACATGTATTCCTTTGTTCTTTTTCACTATATGTAGGTCGCATTGTGTTACAATCCACTATTATGGTTAGGTGGTTTGGGGTTTAGAATTTTTAAATGTATCGAAGATGTTTTATCCTAAATCATTGTGTGCATCCAAATGCGAAGTCCTCGTAATCTCTACTGTTGTTAAATCATAATGACCCATGCATTAAAAAAAAAAGCGCTTTCCACTCAATTGCCAAGAAAGGCTTCTCAAAAAGGATTTGTTATTGGTACTTAATGTGGTCTTGTTACTACAACGCCCAGTGAATTACTAGACGAAAGGAAAGACCGGTCTTGCATTCTCAAAGCTTGCTCGGCATAGCTGTTTGTGAAACACATGCGTAATAAGTGGAGGCAAATTGTCTGTTTTAAGACCAACTATCGGGTTTTCATTTGTTTTTGTGGTAATAAATTGTCTATTGATGCACACAGCCATCTTTCATCCAAGTTTCTTTTGATGGTGTGATATCGTTGAGATCTAGCGTTAAATCCCAACCTAAACCACTGAATAAACCCCGGAATGTGTCTTTCTTTAGCTTGTGAGTCTGGAATGATTGGTGCTGAAGCTTTGACTTTTTTGTGAGACTGTTCGTTGCAATTATGTATAATAATTTCCACCTCATGATATTTTTTATACCAGTTTAAACAACAGTATGTGGTGTTACTCATTCATGTTGGCACTAGTTTTTCAAGTAATGGGTAAGAAAATCAATCTCTATTGGACAAGGTTACCAAGTAGTTACATGTATTATACAATTCGTAGCTCAGCCTAGTCCATACACTTATGCTGAGATATTGGGTCACCTTCCATAATATAGACTTGTGTTCTGTCTGTGTACACTGTACGAATGTGTGGTGTAGATATTAAATCAACTTTGTCACTTCGTGTGGTCTGCATTTGTGAGTGGCTGTAATCATTATTTGTTTGACACACTATATTTCTTTATGTGCCAATCAGTTCCATTAGTGGCTAAATCTATTTTCGATACAGAAACAAGGTGCTTTCATAGTTGTTGCAGTCATTGTCGGGTGTGAAGTTAGCCAGTAGGTAGATTGGCCTTATAAGAAGTAGATTAGCAATCCTTTTGTTCCCACCATATAGCTTGCGTATTTACAAGCTGTCTAAAGGAGTAAAGAATATCTGTTACTCCTTACACATGATATATGAAACAACGTGGTATTAGGTCCTCTGTAGAAACAGCAGTAAAGACAGCTGGTAACCTACACCCGAAGATTATCAGACGTCATTGGATTTCCGCTATTTCATTCGAACTGGATGCTAGGAGACTGACTCCGGATGACTCTGACCATGATGAAGAGCGGAACCAGCTGGGACGTAAATTGACCAAGAATCTCCGCAATGATCGCGAGCAGCGGTCCGTGGTCAAAGCGAGAAAGATAGAGAAGGTATCATAGTTGGGTAACAGCCGGCAGCTACTCAGGCTTATTCAGGATTCTGGCAGGAAGGTGACAGTGAGTTAAACCACCATAGAAAAGGACACTGGTAGCCTCCAAGAACAGGCGGCTAGAATGTTGGGCAGAACAATTTAAAGCACAGTTCGACCAACCCTCAGCAACACTTCAGTTACCCAGTATCCGGCTTGAGCCTGAATAAGACGCAAATGTCGGTCCTCTAACTCTCCTTGAAGTTGAGAAAGCTGTATAAAAACTAGAAAATGCAAAGCAGCACGACTTGACAGTTTGCCACCTGGGAATTTCAAGGATGGAAGTAGGAAATCGCTGAGTAGTGACGGAGATACTAAACAGTGTATGGGAATCAGAGGTAGTACCGTCAAACTGGAGTACTTCGCCGATCATCACAGTCTGTAAGAAGGGAGAGAAATCTTTCGGCAGTCATAGGAAAATTAGTTCAACGAATATTGCGTCGAGGATCCTGGATTTCATAGTTATCCGACACCTAACTGGAGCTCGAAAACGGCAAATTCGAGAAAACCAGGCAGGTTTCAGGCAAACCTGGACAAGGGTGCATCGATCATATTTTCACCCTCCGACAGGTTCTGGAATACAGGCATACCTACTGGCGACCAACACTCACCACATTTCTTGACCTGAAGATGGCATTTGACTCAGTCAATCATGTGGCGGTGTCTGATTGTGAGGAGAGTATCCAACAAGTATATGACACCAATCAATGCTCTCTACTCAAATTCAAGCAGCCTTGTGAAAACTCATAGAGAGTTGTCAGAATTGACAACAACTAGTGTTCAACAGTGATATCCACTATCATCGTCACTGTCACTTCGTCATAGACATAACCTTATGTACGCCTGACTTCACAGAGATTGACCTACTGCCTGGAGGTCACCTGGTTGACTTGGAGTATGCAGACGATATTGTCCTGCTGGGAAAAGACGCTGATGCACTTCAGGGTCTTGTAAACGCATTGAACACAAATCTGAGGATGTCTGGCATACGTTTTGCACCTGTCAAATGCAAGATGATGCTACAGAACTGGTCTGTTGCAAGTACTCTCAGTTTAATAATCGAGAGTGAAGTCATGGAATGTAGCGACCACTTCACTTACATGAAGAGTTGTCTTTGCCTGAACAGACTGGTTGCTAACGAAATTCCAGCTTGAATACAGGAGGCCTGTTTGGCGTTCGTCAACGTGGGTCATCTGTGACACTGACTGGAGAGATATTCGACTATCTGTTAAAATCTGGGGTTAGATACAAACGTTTGACATTTGCCAACTTGCTTTATCCCTGATACCGACTGGTAAAATATCCAACTACCTATTTTAGGGTCTAGTGTAATGCTCTACAGTCTGTTCTGTTCTGATTTACGCCTGTGAGACATCCTCATTAAATGTAGAAGATATGAAGCTGTTACAGGGTTTTGATCACAGATGTCTTCGTAACATTACTTGTGTCTGGTGGAATCACCAAGTAAGTAATGCTGAGGTTAGACGAAAGGTAATTCGGAAGATAGGGTAGTCGATTGATAAGGTTGTAAACCTTCATCGGGTGGGATGACTTGGACATGTACTGCACATGCCGAGCTACCACCAAGCTCAACATGCTATGCTGGGAGGAGTTGTATTAGGTTGAGAGAGAGAGCCCACGGTGACCAAACTAAGACGTGACTCCAATTGATGAAGTCCTTAATTGGAGTACTATGTCCTTTTTTTGTGAACCTTTTCATGATATTTGACCTTTGTATAGTCATGGTATTAAGTTGGAATTACCAATACATTGTTCTATGCTCTTTCAGGCTAGACCAGGGAGTTGGTCACTAGGTTCCAGGTTCTAGTCAATCAATGCCATATGGAGGATGAATGATTGGCGTGAACGTTTCAGGAGTTTATTCATTTATTTCCAGCTAATAAGTATTATAGAATCCGATTACAGAGATTGTCAAATAGCATTTTGGAACCTTTGCATTAAATGTATTGGTTCTGTTTGGCACATCTAGCAATGCAGTGATAGATCAATTTAAGCAAGGTGATAAATAAAAAGCGATCAAATAAACGAAATACAATATGTTCAAGGTTCAGAGAAAAATGAAAAGAAAGTATTTCTCATTGTGGTTAATTTTAAAGTATAAAAAAAGTGTGTCCCATAATTTATTTCTAGGGACTCCAAAGACCGCAGTCACAATTACACTTCTCGTTATGATTCAAACTAACATTCAGTCTTTCTATAATTTTTATAGTACGCTTTGATTTGACCATGTCTTATTTAGTTTGCAGACGTGGTAAATGTCTTTGGAAAACTACTGTAAACTGTACTACGAGGCATCAATTTACACGTAAAATAAGTGCGAAGCCTAATTAAATAATGGACCTTTAACTCACTTATCTTAAAGCATAATGTTTTATAGCTTGTAATTTATCACATCATGAACCTGACTACCATAGGCAACAATCTTTTCGGGAAATCTTGCTTATCAAATAAAATTTCCAGTGGAAAATGATTAAATTGGTAATCATTGTTGAGACTGTGAGAAATTGAGCGAAGATGATTCACGACCTTAAACATATCATTGGGATTCATCTGTTTCACTCAATATGCAGATGTAAGATGTGTTATTATCTACCCTAGCTTGTACGTAAATGCTATTACGCAGCCTTAGATGTCAAATAGTCGCAAACAGAATTTTGAATCATAGTTCTAGATAAATGAAGATTTCGAGAATAAGGAAACTATTTCTAGTACACTATGGACGCTATTTTGGGCTTGATTTATTCATTAAAATTTGACTTCTTCAATTGCCTAGTAAATAAAAACTAGTAGGTCTTTGCATAATTAGCGAAACATGATTTGCATATTCATTTTTAACTCACCGGTCCACTATTTATTTGTAACTTACTATTCTGGGATATTCGTATGTAGATCATCTTGCCTATTCATTCTTCACACTTTTATTCCAGAGATGAGGTAAAATAGTCCACTTAAGGAGTGTTTAGAGATTTCCCACCATTCTTGTAGTCGTATACATGAGAAAAGTTTCTAAATCTCTGCCTAGTTTACTAATCAATGATCTATATGGGTGAATATAAAGAAAAAGACAGTTTATTAGCTAGGTAGCAGAAACCATTAGACTGTATCCCATTCAGCAGTGATATTAGATAAAATGGTTGAGTACAAGCATAAAAGTGTTATGGGGTAATATTTTTCTTGACTAGTAAAAATATAGATCTGTGGTCTAATGTGGAGTCATCCAGCACCCGCATACTGGGTCATAGGTTCAAACTCTAGTTTGACTTAACCACAAAGCTGACAAATCTAGTTCTACTATAGGTAGGTGAAGTTCATTTAAACTCATGTACGTTTAAACTCAATTAAAGTACTCCAAGAAAGAATGTAATCCAAACTAAATGTTACGAATGCATCGGTACCTCATCTTGATCTCACCTGGTACATCACGTTTTGTTATTTACTTAAACCCATGTTATTCTTGTATTTTAGCTTTCGATAAATTTTGGCTATTTTATTTATTTCTCTTCATCTGTCTTGTCACTTTGTATATCGTGTGTCACCCAATGCTGTTACGCATTAATGGCAAGCCTCATACTGAAATTGATTGTGATTTTAGTCAGACAGACGGAGACATAAAATCAACGCAGAACCTTGCACACAAGTGCATCGGCTCAACTCGCCACACTTCACAGTAGTTTTCAAAGAATAAATGCATAGAAAGAGTGATATCGAAGAGAATAAGCAATTTCAAGACAATGGTTAGCGTAAATACCCAAGCTTTAGAAAACGTGAAGGAGTGAATACATCTGAACCACTGTTATCGATTTTTAACCATGTCACCAAGAGTCCGAGCTTAGTCATTTAACTGTGGCCAACTTTTGAGGGACAACCACTTTTTTAGTAGGTGATATGTACACAGTCAATTTGATCAACGGTTCTTTGTTCTTATATTTATTTGGTTGAGTTCTGGAGATATTCACCTTTCAAATAAAGCCAGTCTGTTGTGAACGAAATAGCAGATATCATTATCATAGACTAGTGTTCGTTAGATTATACATCTCAGTATTTTTGACATACAAAGTCACTTATGCACATCACATCACCCAGCTGGACTATCATTCATGATATTTTGCATCCGGGAAGCAGCTGTTGTTCTTAGGAAGCTTATACCATAAGTTATAGTTTGTATCGCTAAAGGTCAAGACGTTCTTTCTACATTCTGTTCACTTAGGCCTTCTACTCGTGTAAACACTCCATCATAATATTAAGTGTCACTCACTAATTTAGGTACTATACTTAACAGTTGGTTTTTCGGGGTTCAAATTCATTCTTCCTTAAATCTGGTGAGACGGTGTCACAGGCTTTAAAGTAATTAAATTTGTGTACAACTAGATTCTTGAATTTACTCATGGTCAGCAAGTTACGTTCATTCACTTGAATCAATTTTTTGATAGTACTTAGGTCTTAAATTATTTGAGATGCATTTAACCCTAGTTATATATATAATTTTTCCATTTCAGCATCCAGGTGGTGAAACAGTATTAGAAGAACAAGCAGGAGATTATGGTACAGAACCATTTGAAGATGTTGGACACTCATCAGATGCTCGTGAGATTATGGAGCAGTATTACATAGGTGATATTGCACCTGTAAGTTTTTTCCCCTCCTAGGTAGTTATTCCTTTGCTATAGGCAGACCGTGAGCGAAAAAGTAAATTCACTTCTTCCTTCACGTTGAAAAAAATGGATGGTTTCAGGTAATGTATCTTATTTTCTCAAAGTGATTTTTTAAAATCACATTTATTCTTACCCTAACCAGTCTTCTTATCAATAAGTAACTTACAGTTATATGCAGAGTTAATCAGAGCACCCACGAAGAATAAACAAAAGAAGTAGCTATCTCCACTGTTGATCCCTGTGGTACTTGACGTACAATGGAGGTACTTCCACTTCAGAGAATGTTGTTGCTAAGTGCAACTTCCATCACTGATTAAATATAACGGTTTTCGGATCTCGTTTTGGGTAAACATCAGCTTTTCTGGCTTACGAGGACCTTAAAAAGTGCTTTTACGCGTAATACTTCAAATTGAATTTTTTAGAATAACCATTGTTTTGAGGATATTTCTTAGTTAAAGCACATTTCCTTTACAGTTTTCCAGCTGAACAGAGCTTCCTACCTCTGATATGGCGTTGTGACTATTCGCTGTAAAGGATAAAAAATAAGGAAGCCAGAATATTTCTTGTTTCCGGTTTATTTGCTGTAAACTTATCTTTTACATATTCCATTATTTCTTCACTCAGCTAAGACGATCAGTCCCGTATTCTATTTGAATATACTACATTTTATAACTGACCCCGTTTCAACGTACAGTGTAACTATTGGTGCGTGGTTAGCAGTAATTGAGCTTTTTTAAAATTTCTTGTCTGATCAAGATTTAATATTCTACTTGGCTAAATTCCAGTGTTCGAATATCTTTACTGGGTTAGAGATTAACCACTCCATATATGGTGTATGTACTCATCCAACCAACGCATAGTACATTCGAAATGAATGACTAAACACCCGTAAAGTGACCGAGTGTGGTAAGACTGGTATAATAAAGATATTCAATGCAATAGAACACAAGCTGAATGCACTAATAACTGTTCACTGAGCCACGAAATATGGAGAGATAGACTGGCATGGGGCTTCAAGAATAACACCATATATATAGTTTTTACAAACTTATGAATGTACTCGATCAAAGATAAAATAAACTGTCCTGACTGGCTTACTAAAGTACGAAATTGTCTAGTAAAATCTATCGTGACCGCATAGCATTATAGGTCAAAATCTGAAGCTAAAAAATTTCAACCTCATTGATTAATGACCTAAAATATTGATTTCCAGTTTGGTCACTTCATCATCATCATCATCATTATCAACATAGGACCAGGCATTACTGCGTAACGGTCCGAGTTGCCACACCTCATATCAGCACATCAAGTAAAAAGGTAGTGAGGTGAAGGATGAAGATAAGTGAATGCAGTCAAAAGAAGTATAAAGTACGAGAAGAAAGGAAAGAGGAGTGACAAAATAGTGAGATTCGGTATAGCGTTGTTAAGATGAGGATAATGTGTGTATACATCTGCGCCACTGACTTCGGTTCTGAGCCATATCACCTAGGGTCTCCAACCACTAGTTCCTCTTGTCCCGTGGACCCCAACCACCTAGTCTGCATCGTTGATAGGAAGTGTTTGGTCACTTCCTATCAACCTAATATTGGCAAACCCTATTACCACTTAAAATAAAAGCGCAAAGAGCTGTGCGATTATAAATTTAATTTCCAAAGTGGTTAGCTTATTGTGGTAGTGGACAATAAACATCTCATCCAGTTAACAATACTGTTACTGTTGGATATATCAAAACTACCGAAAAGCATAGAATTGTACTATACTACAGAGCTTATTCTTACCTCAAAAGCTGTCTTTTTGATACCAGTTTTCTTGATGTTGTATAACTCAGATAATCTGGAACAGCTTCCAGTTATTTTCAGATTATAGTTTGTGGTTGCTACGTGCTCTTCTGTTTCATCCACCAATCTTCACGTTGTTTGCGCAGGTGTTGTGTAGTTTTATCGCAAACGGTTTTCAAATATCACTTTGCGAAAGAACATAGTGGGACATTTTTCGAAGCTGCAGGTGACTTTATTCGTGACGTTTGTTAAGGGCACCTAATGCTCAGAGTTTTAAACAGTGATGATATATCAGTGCTTGAAAAAAGACTATCGAAAGTAGTACGAGTAAAACAACAAGGAGGAGATAGTAAGTTTGATATTTAAGTAAATAGTCAGTGACTGGTCAGATTTATTTGTTAGTAGTTTTAAATCGGGGCTTCAAAATCTTCGCTGCACCAAACGATGCATTAAGATTTTCGTAATATTTGAGACGTGCTTTCAGTTTTTTTGCTAGACAATTAAATAGTATGTATGAATTTGGTCTTGCCAGTTGTGTTCATTACGATACTCATTCTCGTACAGTGTATTGTTATTGGTTTTTATTTTACCACTTGGATTTTTGATTCTTATCAGGGATAAAATAGTTTCAGCAGATTACAATCTTCGCCAAGTAGTTACACTACTTCCTACTATCAAACAGGATTCTTAGTTTTATAATGAAACTCAGGAATGGATCTGTGAAGTGTGCAACGTTGCCTCATACATATGAATTCATGCATTGGGTGGACATGAAGTCCATTGACTTTTCAGTTGCTTGGTTATCTGATTAGTAATGCCAGCTAGTGGTGACATTTCGCACAAACTCAACGCTGAGTCGAACATAAAAATTACAGGTGACATTTCCCACTCATGCTTCATTTAGTGGTGGGTATTTTTCTACTGATTTGTATTTACAATACACGAATGTATAGCTCCACTCTGCAGAAATCTCTCTCTGATGGTAGATGATATGAAGGAGTTACAGGTATTTGGCTGTCAATCTTGTGTAATCATTCATTTGTTCATATATCCTGGAACTATTACGTAACATTTGAGAAATCAGATTTACAGTACTAGATAAGTAGTATACTAGTTCATCGAATTAAATACTGAGGTAATAAGTTACGGGATGTGTTTCTACAAAACTTCGTGTCACTATGATCACTGGCTTAAGCATTCGTTTTCCAAGCAACCAAATTCAGGGTCAAGCTCCATTTCACCTGGCAACCGCTAGTATAACGTCACCCACATTCTACATTTACCTTAGCCCAGCTTAAAAACATCTACCGAACAGATGAGCAACATTTTTTGAATACTTTGGCGCTACTCTTTTTAAATGTTGAATAGTTTTTGCAGTAACATTTTCTAAAGAAAACTAATAGGCACTACATCTGTGTAACAGTGCATATTGCATAGTAAAATAGTGTCAAATCGGATACTTTAAAAACTTAACGATCGCGTAGCTGAAATAAGCGTACTTTATCTCAACTTTCTTCGCTAGAATACTTTTTATTGACTGGTTTTCACTGTAAATAAAAGAGATTCGATCTCTTACCTAGCTATTCAATTGCTTGAATTTTGTTCATTGAAATATAGGAATGATGGGATTTAAACGTAAAACAATGTTTTAATGTTAGATTAAATTTAGTTAGAATGTAAGTCGTTGTTGTAGAATACGTCGTTCGCAGAATTTCCCCTTAACATGTTAGTAATAGCTACCTATGAAAAAGCTTATGTATTTGAACTAACACTATATCGTATATTACTTGAGCAACAAGATAATGCTCATTCTGATAGTATGCCAAAGGTTACTAACAACCAGTGTATTTCATCTTTTTGCCTTCATATGTGCACACATCACCTTAAATATTGTGGCTGCTTGACACCCGAACTAATGGGGTTAACCTAATCATAGACTGTCCGGTGAACTCGTGCTGTCGGTTAGAATAAATGTGGTTTTATTTCCTCATATTTAAGTTAAACTTTGTCTTCTGTTTGTCAATTTTCTGTTTAAATCTATCCTCTCGGGACTTCTAAATTAACCTTTTATCTGAAGACGTGTATAGTTGTGAATTTTCAATAAACAGGCTATTCAAATAGACTGTTAATTAGTATTTTTGCCGTAGTCCTCACTTTAAGAAAATTAATAATTTAACCACCTACTGTTGTTGGACTGGAATTCGTAGTACGCAGCTGTGCCACATTAATATCAAAAAGTATTCATTGTGTTTTTAGCGCTTCGAAACCTTCTTTACTGTCATACCGTGAAGTAGAGGTTAGAAGACCGAACCTAGGAGTCGCACGACGCTTAACTACTTGGTGTTCTGTTATTAAATATAGGGTGTTTTTGTAAGACTAACTAGACTGTGATGGTGTATGGAGTTGTAAAACGGGTCTGCACATGAATGTTAGCTGAACATTGTGTTTACTCTGCCTATTTGAACAAATTACCCTTAAGCTCTAGAAAATGTGCACTTTTGGCATCCTATAATGAGCAAGACAGTTAAATTATCTACCATTTAACCCGGTTCCAAAACTCTGCTTGGAATATTCCAGAATCACATGACTTTATACGATTTATTTGTTGTACACATTTAACTACAAGTGATTTCATTCGGGTCATCAGTAAACCACTTTAACCTCTTCAGCTACTCTCTCTTGGCTACCTCCCAACGATAGCTGCTGCTTTGATTTGGTAGTCAGGTTTGTATATCACAATGACTCAACAAACTATGCTGGTGAACGTTTGTTCTCTCGAGGTCCTACCATACCAGAAAGATCAGTCAGATGATGGTAAGGCTAAAAACAGTTACCGTTGTAGTATAAAATACTACGCTATGATGGGGATCCGAGGGTAAAGTAGTACTGCTGGTTTGACTAGGTGTAACAGCATTGAGGTGTTTCGTGTGGATAACCAGCACTACAAGCTGATGCTACCTTTTCTATGGTACGAAGAAATTAGTAAAGGTTCGCCCAAAAGTGGCACCCTACTCTAGTAACCTGAAGCCTTTTAGTGCCGGAGTTATGGGTTCCCTAGGGAGATTTAAGGCAGTTAAATTTCAAGCTCACGAAACCACCATGTGTTAGTACCGGGCTCAACCAGATGTCTTTTGTGCTTCGTGATCACGCATAGCTATTACTAGTGAAATTAATTTTTTAGCTACCTATAGCAGAGAGGGTATTGATATAGGAATAAAACTTGGGCACTGTGATAAATTGTAATTCCATTTTAGTCTGTTTTTTAGAAATGTCACACACTGAAAAAGTACCATTTACTGGATAACATTTCGGACATCATTTGTTGTGCATTTTCATATCATCAAGAGAGTGTATTTCCCGACTGGATTTCAGTTGACAGTTACCTGTATGCTGTCAGAAAGAATGGTCCAGTAAAGGCTAAAATGGTAGTGAAACTCGTCGTTGTCTCTTTGCAAATTGTACTTATGCACCCACTGACTGCGACTCAGATGAAGTGAAGAATGAATCCTACCGAGAACTGCCTAGCCTCCTACTGAAAATCAAAATTCAGATGTGGTTGTTGTTGCAGGTGATCTTAATGCACAAGTGGATGGGTAAGCCAAACGGAAAAACGCTTGGGTAGCACTTTCAGCATCGCAGTTGCCCGAAGGCACAACGATGATCACATGCTGAAAATGTACTCAAGCGATCACCTGTTTTTAGCTGGCGCTAAATTCATATATGATGAAGGAAAGGTGGTCTGACGTTGCGTCTGCCGACTTCAACTCAGTGATGGACTGTATTGCTTTAAGCTACTGCTGCAGTCAATGTCCATTCAATGTAGAGGACGTGAGAAGGTGGGCTTCAGGTGTTTGACCACGGTCACCTTCGTAGCACAGGCTGTTTCGTTTCGTCACCAGGTTGGGAACGCCGAAGTCAGGTGTGGTAAGTAAGTACGTTGATGATATTGTGAGTTGGCTCAAATGGCTGGGACATGTGTTACGCATACCTAGCCACGGTTTAGCCTGTCACACATTGTCAGATGATGTAGCTTTATTTTAGAAAAAGGTAAGGACACCTGGACTAAAACATGACATCCTTAAGGGAAGTCTTTGACTATTGGTCTGATTTGTGAAGGGAAATGTGGAGTCCTTGATTAGGATTGGCGTGACAGAAGAAATCAGTGGTTGGAAACTCTGGGTGATATAGCTCGGAATTGATCTGAGGGCCACAGATATGTTCACACATTTTCTTAACCTTAAATATCATAGCTAAATTCATCGATTCACTCTTTCTGATTTTCTTTTCATAACTTTCTGCGGCTTTTGATTGCTTACTTTTGCATTTCTTCGTCTTTCATCTTGATGCCTTCTGCCGTGATATACTAATATGATGTATGGCAAATTGGGTCCTTAATCAGGAATGCATGTGCTAATGTTAATATTAGCTGTATGTCTTTTTTGACTGTCATTTACCGTTCATAAATACTAGGGTTAAATGTCTGTTCTGACTTCTAATCCTTTAACTGTGGGTGATTTTCAAGTTGTACCGCTCAGTTAATTACATCCAAATCCTGGTGGCATACATATTAGACAAATTCACTGCAACATTTCTAATAATCATTTTTCGACATAGCTTGGTAATAAGGCTTATTTATACATGCACTAAAAGTAAAAAAAAAGAGATAAGTGAACAACAGAGGTGTCATCAAACACGCTTTGCGATCCAGTTTATCGTTTAAAATCCCAGTGAAAGGAAAAACAACGGGATTAGAGAAAAATTGACATGGATTCGAGGATGTAAAAAAAGCATGAAACAGAATAATATGATGTTTTGAAAAAGATGAAGATTGAAAGTTTCTTTACTAGTATTCAGTTTGAACCAAGTTTCTAACTCTTAATTTTCAACACAGGGAGAAACCAAACAATACAACCTGTACATTACATTGAAGGGTGCACCTGAACTAGGTAGAGTTAAGGTTCCACATTGCACTGACTCAGTGTTCTTATACATGGGATGAAGTATTCTATGTTGAACTTCCATGTTACCTCTCTACTTGACTAAACACAGCATATCAGAAACTTTCCCAGTCAAGAATATTTGTGCAAAATATTGCAAGCCTCTTGTAAAGAATTTCTTGAGACGCATGTTAAAGTTTCATTGCATGCAGAAACCTGTTCAGTATTAACTTATCAAATGGATGGGTTTTAGGATGCATTTGAGCTTTACGGCACAATGTGTGCTTTTAATTTGTTTGCATTGCAGATTTACTGGTTTAAATGTCGTATGAGCATCCTGTTTCATTAAAAACCTTTTCTCGTGTATGTTGTGTAATCTGCATTTTTCAAAACACCAAAGGAAACAATACTAGTGGTGCACCGTCGTGAAGTCTCCTGATTGCACTTAAAGCACAAAATGTAAAAAGTATTCTTTATTGTATACTAAACAGTACTGACAATTTGTGAATATATATGGATTTATCTGGTTATTTTCAACTTAGTTATTCTCTATTTGTTTCTAGTCTCACAGCGTGGACTGGACTTCTCATTCCTGTTGGTGTGGTGTTAGCAGCAGTCATTGTGTACAAATTTTTGATGTGAATTCCTTTCGTGCTTTCCCCCCTTTACCAAGAGCTGTGATCTTGTTTCCTGTGTTGACTTCTGTGTGGATTAGCTGCGTATTTATGTGTCTTTGTATTTTTGGTCACATATCTGTTAAACGAATGATTATGAAAAAAGAAATAAAGCTTTTTTACCCATTTGATAAGTTGTTCTTTTTTTCAAAATTTTATGTGTTTGTACGTCCTGTATGTGTGTGTGTGCATGTATTTGTGTATTAAATCTAAGGTTATCTGCTCGGTGATGTAACCCTAACTATCATAATTAGTGATAAGTAACCGGACATAAGTCGCCTAGCACTCCAAGGACAACCTGAAAACCACTCAAGTCCACAATTGAACAGGCTGATAATATCAGGTCTTCTCAACGGTCTAGGTACTACCTAAGCAACTCATAACCAATAAACAATCTCCAGTTTGGTAGATACATGGAAGCAAAGTATATGACGGTTTGGTGTGTGAATTAAATGTGTAAAAGAATTAATCAACAGTAGAATCGGTCATTTCCTTTTCTAATTGATTCAGTTTATATTCAGAGAAGGGAGAAAATGAAACGAAACCTGTAATCAATTAGTTGTATTAGGAGGCACTTGTGAGGTGTAGTAAATATTTCTCCACTGCTATTAGTGTGTACCTACAAAATTCAGATTAATTCGTCTAAACTTATTTTGTGTGACTATAATGCAACTAAGCTCGGTCTAAGTTTCTAACACTAACTTGTGAAACAAACATGTATGAGAGGGATTGTGATATCTAGTTATCTGGACTGAAAAAGGTGAAGGTAGTTTATGCTTTTGTTCCATTACTTGAAAGTAAAATGTCTATGGTCTCCATGCATTCATCAAGTTCGTCGTTTGAAAGTTATCATATCCAAGATCCTGTAGTCCATAGTTGTCCGACACCTAACTGGAGCTGAAAAACAACAAACTCGAGAGAACTAGTCAGGTCCCAGGTATGAAGGTATGATGCATTAATCAGAGTTTCACCTTTCGACAGCTTCTGTACCACAGGTATACTTGCAGGCTAACGACACCTGT